TTTTAAAAATAATTTAGAAAAATATTCAAATATGAGAGTGCTAGTTCCGTCCATCTGAAGGTGCCATAATCATAATTTTTCATACCTCAGCCCCAATCATGGTGGGGCTGAGGAGGGTGGACCATCTGCCCATGGAAGTTCCTCACTGGGCCCCTTCTACTTTGAATTCCAGGATCTGCCACTGAATACTTTGTTCATTGGATCAAATATATATGGAATGCATACTCCCTAGTAATCAGCTCTTTGGCATTGACAATTATTTGATACACCCACATTACTTGAGGGTGGAAAGCAGGACAACATGGTTAACATGACGACCAAATACATAATTTATGATAATTACACCTCTGACTTGAACCCCAATCTTTCGATTGGAAGCCTTCAGCTTTACCATTGTGCAACATGTTTTCACATATTACTGTTTGTATACTCTATCAACCAATCAAAAGTGTTGTTCTATCATGTTCAGCATGTCATTCCTCATGCCTAAGCTGCACATATGGCGGCCCAAGTGACTGTACAAGTTGTAGACCACCATTGGTATTGCAAAATGGTGTATGTGCTCGCTCCTGCCTTTCTACACAGTTTGAAGCTGCTGGTGTATGCAATGGTTAGTACTTTATTATATCATATTATTTCCATGTGTTTGCATTATAATAATGCTGAGCCCACATTTATTTTTCAGTTAAACATATAGAAAAATATGAGTATGGACATTACCTGTATATATATGTTCTTAAATTATAAATAATGTTGAGTCCGTATTTATTTTTCATTGCCTGAATTTATCCCCTTGTTAGTTATAAATATCCTGAGCTGTGTATTGTGTGATTGGGTATTACGAAGTATACTTGAGGGACTTTACTTAGTTAGAGGAAATCTATCACTACCAATTTTGTTGATAAATGCACCTGTGGAAAAGTGTTCCTTTTGTAATGAAACTGAAACTTGTTACAAAGTTAATTTCATTATTGAAATATTTTCCTACTGAGGTCAAAGGAAATTTATATCACATTTGTAAATAAGATGGACATAAATCAATAAATTTGATACTGTGCATGAATACCATTTACTTGTAACTAGTGTTGATATTGATTAGGTTGATCATAAAGGTTATGGAGACAGGGCCCCAAATTATGGAAGTCAAATTCCTGGAGAATCTGTTATGCAGGTCTGACAGAGGTTTGCGACATAGGTTTGGGTCACTGTTGATGATTTATTGCCACCCGGAATTTTCAGTAAATGGTATGCTCGCTTATTGTCTGTATAAGAATGGAAAAATTTAGCTTAGTTTAAGCCCTGGTTGTAAGATGTTAAAATACTGGAGAAATCCTGGGGAAAATTTGGAATACGTATAGAATTTGTAACATTACAAATTTATGTATGTACATTTCAAAAATTAAATTTGTGTGGAATTGATTCCGTTGTAAATGACACTGTGACACTCAAAAATGTATTTTTGGCCTTACAGATTGTCATGCTAGCTGTGGTACATGTAGTGGTGCAAGTGACGGGGACTGCCAATCTTGTGGGGCTACTAGCCCTCAAGGTGGCAGGTGCTTTGATGGCTGTGGTAGTTCTCAGTACCTAAATTCTTTCAATATTTGTCAAGGTATTTTAATCAGCCCATTTTTGTGATTACTTACCTAGATACACCAACTAATTGCCATTGTTCTTTTAAGAACACCCCTACAGCATAAATAGAACCGTCTGATTGTCCCATTATATAGTCATCAACCAAAATATTAGATAAATTACTATAAAATTATTAATATTGATAATGTAGTATCATGAATATTGTCTAAATTGTTGATTATGTTTTACATTTTTTTAAAAATAATTCATAGATTGTTCACCATCTTGTGCCACATGTTACGGTTTAACTGGCACTGAGGGCAGTGTTTGCGATCAGTGTATTGATGGGAACACTTTCACTCTTGGAGATGTTTGTGTACAGGAATGTGGTATTGGCTATTATGAAAGTCAGTCAAGATCATGTAAAGGTATTCCTTATTCTATCAACTTTTTGGAAATTATTATCAAATTTTTGAGTAAACACTTTTATTCATATTGTTCATATAACATTATGCACATTAATATAAATTATGTTAATTATGAAATGTATTGCAAACATACATATATTTATATTGTCATTGATTTGTTTTGCATGATCATCACATACAAATAATTGGAAATTCCCATAGAATAGCAACATGCTAAGGCAGAATTACCCTAAGAGATTCTTCAAGCACATAATTCACTGTTATCTAGTCCATGTTTTGGCTTTTTATTGCTTCCTCCCGATGACATTAGTTCATTGTAAATGCAATTTTCATAAAAGTTCACAGCGATGTTGGTAAAGCGGCGACAGCTTAAAATGATTGAAGTTTTACGTCAAGATTTTGACTTCAACTTACAGACTAACAATTAATGGAAAACAGATCAATTTGGCATGTAAAATATGTCTTTCGTTTTTATTCGACTTAAATTTATTTGAGTTAGAGCAAATATTAACTATTGTAAATATAGGGAAGATGAAGTGACATAATAATAATTTCGACTTTGACAATTTTTCGACTAATACCCCATTCAGACTATCTTCACATTGTGATCGGTTGTAGCAATTGCGACACCTAATCGCACCCAATCGCAAAGTAAAATCGTGTCTGAAAGCTCACCAATAGTAGTCAATAAGTAATCGATTTTGCAATTGCTATTGGGTGCTACAATCTTAATTACTCCCGTTTACCACGGAATCCGATCGCAACGGATTCCACAGGCACTGATTGGCTGAAGTCCAACAAAACAGGATGAACTCGTTGCTTGTGATGTAAAGTATCAAAGCAAAAAGGTGTTTTGCGAATGGTTGCGAACAATTTGGATTACAACTGTTTACCGCCGATTACATCGCAACCGGTCGCAATGCAAAGCCTAGTCTAAATAGGGTATTAGGCACATTCGACTTAGGCAAGTTTACTGTACTTACAACAAAGTTTGTTTAGGCCTAGCCTAGCTTAAATTGCTAGGCATAAAGTCAACACCCCGAGTTAAACATAACATTCTAGGCTGCCCATCAATACCTGAAGACTTAGACATCCAGCCATGAAATTCTAGGACAGTTTTAGGTTTTAAAAATTAGCTAAGTATTGATCTTAGGTTTTTTTTATTACACATAAAATAATGGCTATGCATATGAGGAAACAATAGGAAGGCTGTGTTTTTACTATAAAATGTAAAGGAGTGACTTCATTGCGTTAATGATTTTTTTCTTTGTAGAATGTTTTCCAACTTGTTTGACATGTGACCGTGAAGGACCAATGGGATGTCAATCTTGCAAGAGTGGGTTTGTGCTAGCCCATAATGGAATGTGTACCTCAGAATGTTACCTTGGATTCTACAACAACAATGGAATCTGTACAGGTAAAGTATATCTTATCTATAAAAAAAAATTGTATCTAAAGTAATTGAACAACTTTAGTGACTTTACCAAGGGGATGCTTTGTTAGGTTGTTTGTACTTGATTTGTTTTTAATATAAATTGTGTCATGACAAAATGAGTCAATTTGAGATATTCAAGAAAATATATATGAAGTGATATTGGGTTTCAGTGTTTTTGATAATTTTAATATGTATATTTCTCGATAACAGTTGGTCTAAGTTGATTTACATTTAAACTGTTTTTGAGGCACATTTTGTAAAGCTCTTTGCAGAATTGATAGGAAAACCAGCACTAAATTTATCAGTTGTTCATCTTTAGTGGCAATTTTTTCCAAAGTATTTTTTCAGACTTCTGAATTTGAAAATGATCTTAATCCAGTTGTACTCAAGTTAGGAACCTGATTCAAAGACCAAAATAAAGCCTATATAGTCATCTATTTAAATCTATCAATAAATTATTTTTCTTTTTTTGCACAATACAGCTCATATTTATCTACGTCCAAACAATGCCACCATTGTATCTGGAATTTTTACTTTTTGTTTTGCTTCTATTGTAGATTGCTTAATGAGTTCAGCCACCTAGATGGGATATATTAGGATATACAACATAATTCATTTAGCATTAGAATCATAGAAAATGTGTACTTAATGAATGCTTGTTTATTCTGATCCTGGATGAACAAGTATCAACTCTCTAACACATGAACTGTGTGTGTTGCATGTTTGATCCTGGTACTAGATGATAATATAATGTATCATAATATAATTTAATACTAATACTCAATTACTATCACATCTTCCTAAATGAACACATGTTGATCCTGATACTGGATGAAGAAGTTTGTTATCAGTACCCTGAGACTATCCCATGACTGGCACATATAAACTCTGGCACTGTTGATTAAAATTAAAATTTAAGAAAAAATCACATTTCTGTTGATTTGATGATGAACTCTGATCAGGAGATGATAATTAAAATCTGATCTTTATTAAAACTTTCCAGGTACTAAAAAACATATCAAATAAATATGGCACATAAACTCTGCAACATGTTGATTAAATAGAAAAGGCTAATCTTTACTAAGACTATTTTAATACTGAATGAACAAATGTATTATCAATACACTGAAAGTACCACATAAACTTTATCACATAAAATCTGGCACTGTTGATTAAAAAGAAAAAAATATTTCCGTAACTTTAATAATGAACTGTGTGTGATCAGGATGTTAATTAAAAGCTAATCCTAATTAAAACTCTTCAATTAAATGTAATGACTTGTAGTCTATGATCATCAGACGAAATACTCTATTTCAAGGCCATGCATATTACACTTAGCAGCCATCTCGCTAATGAATGGCTCCCAAACTAATGAAGAAAAAAAACTTTACATTTAAATTACACAGATGTTCATGTTTCATTTTCACAGCTGTGGCATTTATGAAGTAAAGTAATATTTTAATTATGTAAAAACATGATGTTGTTTATGCCAACAGCGTGTGAGGCAAATTGCCTGTCTTGTATCAGTGACTCAACATGTCTTCAGTGTGTGAATCCATCAGCTGTGCTTTCCTATGGAGAATGCATTTCAACCTGTGCAGAGCAGTACTATGTTGACCCCCTTACCAGGGAATGCAAAGGTAGTTTGTTTAAAAGTTCTACATTTTAATTTTTTTAGTTGTTTGTATTATTCCTCTAGGCACATGGCCAATTTACCAATAGTTACTTAATCACTGTCCTATAATTGGATAGGTGGCAATCCCTTTACATGAAACATATACACATGATGATCTGCATAATGTTAAGTCTCATAACGAGGCTTATGGAGTGGATTTGACAGGATTTGAACCCTGGACCATTCGATTGAAAGGCGAGCACCAAGCTATTCAACTCCATATGTCAATTATATTTACATATTATTTTGTTGCATTGCTCAAAATTCTTGAAACCTTTATTCTCCATAGTAAAGAGTTATAATAATAAACTGATTTATAGTCTAACGCCCGTATTCTCTTCATTTAGTAGTTACCTTACTGTATTTACTGCCTATTTACTGTTTTTATCATTGACTTTGACATAGACTTATTCTGTATGCTATTTCCCACAGTTTCTTATCATTGATCTTTTGTTCTTTTAATACTGTTTATTTAGATTGCTATTTCGGCAGACTTGTACTTGCTTTGTACACCATTCTTTGTTGTTTTAGGACCGCCCCCATTATTTCAGTTGTATATTATAGTTGTTTCTTATCCCATTTGTACAGTCTCCTGATGAAGTCCACTGTGTGGACGAAAGCTAGAGAATAAATTATATATTGTTAGTCTCAAAAGTGCTGCTGTTTTTTACTTTATAAATAAGCAAGTAACAATATCATGTATTACATGTCTACTTCAATCAACATTGCAGCTACTTTAGCATCATCACGTCATTATAGCATGAAAAACACTAATATGGTACATTAGTGTTTTCCTGTCATGATGTATGCATAGCTGATTGATATGTTGAGGTAGAGAGCAAATATAACAACTTTTTAGTGACTGAGTTTGTATTATGTTGCTGCCAACTCCCTTAGGGACCATTCATTTTTCATCATTTATACACTAGAAGGAAAGGTTAACAATGTACATAATCGATGAATGAAAAAACAAAATGATGAACCCAATATGTAGTTTGTTAATTGTACTTTTTCAAGGGAAGTGAGTTTTGAGAAATGAAGAAAAAATGGATTACCCTTTCTTACCTTTATATTAGAATTTATGGGCAATGTTCTTAATATTCTATTTTTTGCAATTGTTTATTAAATTATGCCAAAAATAATTCTTACAGACAATCTTTTTACGGTTTCCTAGAATGTGACTGGAAATGTAATTCATGTGTTGGTCCTAATCCTACCGATTGTCTTCTGTGCATGAACGGGATGGTCTTAAAAAATGATGTTTGCGTTCAAGAATGTGGAGATGGTTACTATCAAGTGAGAAGCAGGTGTAGAGGTCAGTGAACTTTATCTGAGGTCACATGCTAATTTTTAACTATTTCAGTATTCTCCAAGTGTAGATTTTGCATATCAAGTCAAATATACACCTGATTTTTAGAAGAAAATATATTTAAATCAAAATTAGAACAACATATTCTCCTTTCAGAAGAAATTACTGTACATTCAATAAAATAAATATACACTAACAAAACTAAAGAAATGATCTTTGATTTTTGCAAAACAAACAGTGCTCATGATATATTGTATGTAGATAATCTGGAATTTGAACAAGTTGAAAGCTTTTAGTACCTAGGCACTGTTGTTGATGATAAGCTTAAATGGGATAAACAAAGTAAGATCACTTTGACAAAAGAAAAGCAAAGATTGTATTTTCTGAGAAAACTTAAGAAGAAGAATTTTATTTTTATTTTATTTATTTCCAGGCAAGACAATACAGTACAATAGATAAGAGAAACAAATGACAAAAAAAAAAAAAAAAAAAGCCTGAGGATTTCCTAAAAGCAAACTTAATCACTATCTAAAGGCTCTCCAAAACATTAAAAAGACAAACATTAAAATCTGAAAAATTCACAATTCATATATGTACAGTACAACATAAAAAGTTAATAAAAATATTACAAAGAGAATTACAATTTATAATTTAATTAATTTATAATGATTTAATTAAAAAAATATTGCTTAATTACATATTTAAATTTTGTGGAATTAATTGCACATTCCCTAATATTTGGAGGTAGGTCGTTCCATAAATAAGGAAAATAATTAAAAACAGTAAATTTATAACAATTGGTTCTAGCAAATGTAGACAACACCATTATTATCTTGTTTTATAAACAAATACAGAACATTTTAACTTACTGCCTAATCTGTACATATAAAAACCTAAATTGTTTTCATCTTTTATTTTGTTAGGCTTTTATATATACAGATTAGGCATAATCTATATAGGAACTCCATTGTTTCCAACTCCATTCACCTTCATAATAATAATGTTAATAGATAATTGTGCAAATTTTGGCCTAATTTAATTAAGTTTAATGTGTAATTTTGTTTAATAAAGTTTTATATTCTTTTTGTACATCTTATGACTAGATATTGTTTGGTGCTCATAGTTTTATATACTTTGTTATCTTTTATTTATCAATGTATATGTTGTTGTTGTTGTTACTTCCAGTGGAACATAATTTCTGGGTTTTTCAGACAATAAAATTATCTTGAATCTTGAATAATAAAATTCATATACATTAAACATTTAACATTAAAAAAATTTCTGTCACGTCTATTATTTTTTTTATATACTGTATTTCAACAATTTTTAGAAATTTTATCATAATGATCTATTTTTTATTTATGTTGATTAATTTTACATGGCTCCACCTATTAAATTTAGTGTTGTAAACACATTAGTGAAATGAAATTTATATTTACAGTATATTTATACACCTGTATTTCGGTTGACTATATGAGTAATCTCTCCCTGGTTATATTAATTCTTCTTTTCTGATGTTATTACTGCAGCATGTATTGGCGGATGTCAGGATTGTGACAATAAAGGACGTTGTACAAGTTGCTCTCCTCCGCAGCTTCTGAGGCAGAGTGAATGTGTATCGCATTGTGGTCCAGGTTACTATAGTGATTACTCAACTCACACCTGTATAGGTATGCTATTTATTTGAAGCTATTTCATTGGATTTTTATGTATTTAGATCTAATTTATTCGATTATATATTGCGGTGTTGATACATTAAGATTCAGTGCTTGAGAAGGGATAGCTGAAGTGTGCATCTGAAACGTTGCAGGTATGTGAAACTTGTTATTACACTGGTTTAACAAAAAGAAAATTATCCGATCAATAAATATTTTTGAAAAACCAGATGAGTTTACTCATAGATAGTAGTTGCTGGATTTGATTGGATTTATTCGGTGTAAACACAAAGGATAGCCCACGAAAGTCTAGAAGAAGACTTATTTCCATTGGGTTCCTTCTGGTGGTGATTGGGCAGTACACCGGGAGACAATCCATACTCTTTTCCGAAGAGTGTACTGCGTTCTTTAACATGCACATGGGCCATAAATGCACACGGGGCTAACGGCTTAATCGTCTCATCCGAAAGACGGTGCGCTTTTGTAACTTGTATTTCAGCCCTCTAGCTGAAACACAGGGAGAGGCAGTGATGGGAATTGAACCGGGGACCTAGAGATCTCCACGGTTCAGTGCACACACAGGGGCTACCACCGGATTAGCCGACTGAGCTAAGCTGCTCTTTACTGACATCAGTAAATAAATAATTAATTTATTTGGATATACACTTTCATATCAGTGGCACTCAGCCGCATAGACGGTGCATCCATAACAAAGAAAATTAACAAAAGGCCTAAGAAAAAGATTCAACTCTACCACAGAAATATATTCAAATTAAGAATACAGTTGAACTTTCCCAAGTCGAATCCAAATTAACATTTTCAAAATTAAATTCTTAAAATTTGACTTAAAAATTGTTAATTAATCAAAAGCACAACAATTGGCATGTAGAATAATATCCACTTGCTAATTATTTGATTTAGGCAAAGTTGACTTAGGCAAGTTAACTGTACAGCAAAAGAACAAACAGGAAATAAGTACAGTACCATCAAAAAAGGAAAAATATGGTAAAACATAATTAAATGATTCTAAAGAAGGGACACATTTTGAGAGCTCAGCAAACATTTCTCCTACATAAACTCTACCTGTCCTTTCCCTTGTGACTCCCAAACACACACAAACCCATCCCCTTAACAATCTTTCATCAGATGGACAATCCCTTCCAAATCACATAATTTTACAATATTCCAAAATATATCACCAAAAAAAAATACAGCAGAAAAACAATATATAAGTTATTCATCAGTCTTTCATCTATTTTTCACACAGGTGACCCTGGCTGTGCCCTCAGAATGGATGTTTTTGGGTTCCCTCAGGGCTCCATTGAGGTTGATTAGCATGGCCAAATTGCTGTTCTGGGATCAAAACCCCAACATTGTATTATAGGTGTTTAAATATCATTGGAAATTGATGACTTTTTCAAAACTTTATGTAAATACCTCTAGTGGTCATAAGAGCTTTTACTGAATGGCCCTCTCCTCCTCCATCTCTTGGTGGTGACGTATTTAAAGTTATCACAATGATTTCTAATTTCAACATCCAGTCTTTTAAATGTAAAGATATGATGTTTGCATTGTCAGCATGATTTGCATAAATAATGTGGACTCTTATAAAATTATGAGGCACTTATATGGGTCTGCCCCTTAAAATACCATTTAAATATTTGTTTGTTTTTTTAAGGCTGTCCAAATGATTGTGTTGAATGCACTACCCCTCAAGTGTGCTCTCAGTGTACCGCAGACACTTACCTAAAACGAGCCAGATGTGTTAGTGACTGTGGAAGCGGATTCTTCACAAATACTCTCACCAATACCTGTGAAGGTAAGGTACTTACTGGGGTACTAAATAGTGATTGCCTTAAAAAAGCCAAGATTTTATAATAAGATTGTGAAGCAGAGTGCACTATCTTGTAATACGATCTTAGCTTAAAGTACAACACCAAAAAATCTGTACTAGATTATTCAGTCACTGTACAAGGTATTCTGAAAATATTGTGATAGGGTCCTAAATATTAAATGTGAGTTGACTTTTTAGTTAATTTATTTTGTTGGTTCTATAATTGTTTATAATTGTGATTGGAGGTTAAAATTAAATTCATATTTTGTTTTTGCCTACACTTGTGTATTTTCATATACTGGTATGTATGAATGAACTCTATTGATTGAAACCCCAAAACAATCAGATCTTGTATTTTGAGGGCATGGATTCTCCTCTCATCTCCTTCCCCCACTTGCCTCCTGTTGAAATGTTACTGTATTATGTATAGCTCGATATATATTTTTATCTAATTACAGTGAATGTGGTACCACCATTCTTATACATAAACGGATCAATCATCACAACAATTGGCGGTTCCACTCCCCTGGACACAAGTTTCTTCAGCGCAGTTGATGCTGATACCGCATTTGTTGATCTACTTTTTTACCTTGTGCAAACACCAACCAATGGTCACCTCATTCGCATTAATAAAGGAATAGAACGTACGTTGGTTGCCTTGGATGTTTTCACAGGCTTCGAGGTACTCCATGGGAATATTCGTTTCATACACGATGCATCCGGGGAACTTATTGGAGAAATGAAGTTGAAAGTAAACGACCGTCAGTATGATTCAGTCATTGAAGTTGTATCAATAATTGCCACGTCTCCCGATCCACCGATGGTATTACGAAACGACCCACTAATTTTAGAAGAAGGTCAACAAACCCGTATTACAAACACAGTTTTACAAGTCCATGATAATGACAACCCAGACAATGTAAAATTTTTCGTTCTTGAGCAACCTCGTCATGGGCGTTTGCTACGTGTTGGTGATTTAACCGATGTTGAAATCTTTACACCTGAGGATCTACGGATGGGAAGTATTTACTATAAACATGATGGTAGCGAGACTCGCTACGATGTTGCTATGATCCAAGTCACTGATGGATACAACTTCAAGAATGTTCTCTTTAACATACAAATACTGCCAAAAGTAAGTATGATAATGAACTATTATAGGCTCTTAATTGTTAGTATTTTGTCTTTTGCCGTCATCATAATTAAAAGTGGCAGATCCAGAAATTTGAAATAGAAAGAGAGCAAAGAGAGAATTTTACAGATGAGGTGATATTATGGCTGTACTGTAGATTGTGGTTCCCCTGCCTGAACCGCTCGGGCATTCGACTCACCAACTGAATGCCACTTGAACACTACTAGTTTAGTGTTGCAGATTGTGTTAAGCCATTTCTTAGTCTGAACAGTGTGTATCCAAGGTCATTCAACGTAAACCTGTGTTGTGTGCATGTGGGGTATGTTTATGTCAATTGACCTTTATATGTGCATGCGATTATAAAATACATTGATATTGCTTTTCTCTTCAGGACAATCAAGTTCCTGTAATCATCAAAAATGTTAATGCTCAAGTGAAGGAAGGTCACATGACCCCAATTACGAGTGATTTACTACAAGCAACAGATAGTGATACTGATGATGATCGCATCATTTTCACCCTTAATCCACCAATCAACAATCCAAGATATGGTGGGCTTGTTTATTTCTTATTAATAAATGAACATTAATACCCAATTCAGACTAACATCGCATTGCGATCGGTTGTAGCAATTGCGACACCCAATCGCACCCAATCGCAAAGTAAAATCGTATGGGAAAGATCACCAATAGTAGGCGATATGTAATCGATATCGCAATTGTTACCCGTTGCGATTGGGTGCTACAATCTTTATTACTACCGATTACCACGGAATCTGATCGCAACAAATCACAACGAATTCCACAGGCACTGTTTGGCTGAGGTCAGGCAACATAGGCCTAGACACCGGAGGCCTAGGCCCTAGAATGTAAAGTTTATTTATGTTGGTCTGAGTGCGTTCGTTGATTGCGATCGGTAGTAATCAGTTTTGGATTACCACCGATTACATCGCAACCGATCGCAAGAAAGTGTAGTCTGAATAGAGTATAAGTGTATTCTGTTTACATTTTCTTGACTCATCATCATTATAATCATCATCCATCATCATCCTCTTGATTGTCTGCCTAAACTTTGCCGATCTATTTGGGACAAATTGAGAAGGAACAGAAAAGTTTCTATATTAGGCAAGACTTTTTTATACCTTGTTTTGCAAACGTTTTTTTAAAGATTGTCAGAGGACGGCAATATGGAAAAAAGACAATTTTGTTTTCTTATTTAGCAAGTAGTTTGCCAAAAACTTCCAAATGGAGGAAAAAATAAAAATAACATTTTATTGGTGAATGTAAACAGTGTAGTAATGGGATAGTTAAATACTAGGAAGAAATACACATAACTTAATTTTTGCAATTTCAAGGCAGTTATAGGTGTAATAAAAATAAAGAAAAATTTTTATTTTTTTCATGGTGTGCTAATTGCCCAAAAATAAACTTGTATTTTTATTTGAAATCATCATGGGCGGTGGATTCGCTAAACAAAGTACAAAAATAGTCTTGCTTAAAGTTGTAAAGAAATGTACACAGTAAGAGTAGAATTATCACAGCCTAAATCGTCATACAAATTCTGTTGTATTATCAGACTATTGCTATGTAGCATTTTCTTTGCACTTTCTGTATTTAATGTTTGTTGATTAATTACAGGTGAGCTGATAATGGTACTACCACGTGTGGTAGGTGATCTACCTCCAGGATGGGAGTCCCTGAACGAGGAGCAGATGTACTACACTCTCCAGCAATTCTTACAACAGGAAATTAGGGAAGGGCATGTTTATTACCGCCACTTAGGAGAAGAAAGCACTTCCGACTCATTTCAGTTTGAAGTAAGAGTGCATCTTTGAATGTTGCTTTTTTTATTTACTTTTATTTCATCTTTATTTTTTGGGGATTAATATTTGCAATCTCATTGTTGTAAACATAGTGAATATTCACTAGAAATATTCTTATAGTTTTTGTTTTTCTCTCTTCTAATGAAATGCTATTTTCAAATATATATTTATGTTATGCATGTTGTTTCTTTTGTCATGTTTTTATTTTATTGTATTTTTTTAATTATAATTCTACGCTATGTTGTTTTTTTATACTAAGACCTCATTCATTTACATTAAAAGCCTTTGAGCAAGCCTCTGCATCAGTGATACACCTATGTAACTTAAAGCCCTGTCCAGACTCACATTTCATGTGACATGCCTAAATATGGTTATGATGACATCATATCATGACCATATATAGCTGCATCATGACTATATATGGGCATACAATAGTTTTTTGTCTTGATAGTCTGGACAGAGCTTAAGATTAGCTAAAATTTGCATTTCATGCCCATCATCCAAAAGCTTTTTATGATGGGATTGCAAATTTCATGCTAGAATTCCAGTACTCTTTTAAACAAAAAATGCCTGACAGTTAATTTGTCACACATTTTCATGAATGATTAAAAACAGAAGAAAGATGAAGTTGTTTATAAATAAACTTGTTTTTCGATGAATTTGGTCATTAAATATTAGGGGTCAATAGTGCAACACCAGTATGAATCAAGGTACAAACAAAACAGGGCCTTCACAGGACTGCTAATTGGTATCTTGTCCATTGTGTCCTAAATTTTTAGAGACCTTTTTTTTTTTATTACTGCTTATTGGTTTATTCCTCCTTTTCATTATCTTGTACCTTTCTTAGCTCTGTCCAGATTATCAAATTTTCTTTGTCAAAAAAAACTTGTGTGCCCATATAGTGATGATGTGCCTATATATGGTGATGATGTGATGTCATCATGACCATATTTAGGCATGTAACATTTGTCAAATAAAATGGGATAGTCTTGACAGGGCTGTATGGATACTCATTTTAAATTGTTGTAACTAGGTATCTGATGGAGCTGATCCACCCAACATTCTTCCTGACCAACTCTTTACTGTCATGGTATCTGCTGAAAATGATGAGCCACCAAGACCAGCCCTTGGTGTACCACAACCTTTCAGAATTATGGTTAGTTCATGTAAACATTCAAATGCTTGATGATTATAAAACTTTCCACAGTGTTAGGCCTTTTTCACAAATCGGTAGACATCTTGAAGTGATCACAAACACTGGAATCAGCGGTGCGTAACCAACAGAAATAAGATAAACTTTTGGGCTGATTTCCTGACATCATGTTATTTAAAAAATCCATAACGGGACGTCGTATACAAAAAATTTTTCCAGCAAATTATTCTTAAAAGACTAGTCTATACCACTATATGATTGAAAAGAAATTGAAAAATGATTTTGACCTCTGAAATCAAGATGGAAAAAGAAAAGCCTATCTAAGTAGTGTATTAAAATAGGCCTATGCATTACAGTGCAGTAGCATAGTACTTTCGTGTTGTTACTGTTCCAGGTACCGATAATATACAGATTTCTCTTATTATAAGGTACAAGTTACGTTTTATAAAGAAGTATAGTATAGTAAATCATGTTTTTAACACAGGAAACTCTCATATGGTAACTAAAACAATGCTAGTCCTGAGTATTACTAGTACTACTGCACTGTAATTCATAGAGCTATTATAATACACTACTTGGATAGGATTTTTTAAATAACATGATGTCAGACAATCAGCCCAAAAGCTTATCTTAATTCTGTTGGTTACGCACCGCTGATTCGCAATGTTTGTCATAACTTCAAGATGTCTACCGATTCGCGAAAAAGGCCAAGGCCTACCGAAATAATTACAAAATCAAATCAGTATGCAAGAGAAGGGATGCTGGCGTGCATCGAAAACAAATTTCGGTTCGGATCCGATGTAATTGTAGCTTATAATAATAATAATAAGTTATATTTATATAGCGCTTAATGCCAACAAGGCCTCTAAGCACTTCACATTACTACCCCTGGTCATTGAATTAGACGCCTACCGAACACAAACTGTTCCATAAAGTTGCAGCAGCTACATCAGCGCATTTTGGCATTTAACCCCACCAGGCACCCATTTATACTTCTGGGTGGAGAGAAGCAGTGTAGATAAAGTGCCTTGCCCAAGGACACAAGCGAAATGCACAGTGAGGGGATTGAAACCCAGACCTCGAGTTGGAAATCCCAACCGTTCTCACTGTGCCAAACCACTATAAGTGGGTGGGAGTGGTTGGAAGAACGTTCTAGAATTAATTATGTCAGTAGATATGATAATGTCAATTATGAGTGATATTGACATTTTATGTGATGATGATGATGATGATGATGATGCTATTAAAATATTGATGATAATGATGGTTCAAAAAACGCTATTGCTGGAATTCTAATTATTATTATTATGAGTGAATAATTTTCACTAGTGTATATTATGCAACTATTCTAATTGGTTAATATTCTCCTCTTGCGTTTATTTACCCTTTAAAGGTTCTAGCAGGGGATGTGACAATAATTGATCGTTCTAACCTAGCCTTTACGGATGAAGATAGTCCAGACAATCTCCTACTCTACAATATCACAATACCATTCGCTACTGATCAAGGTTTTATTGAGAATGTTGACCAGCCAGAGTTTTCTATCAGATACTTTACTCAGGCAGACATCAATGCCTGTCTCTTATACACATCTAGATGTGTATAAGAGACAGGTGTAGTAATGGGATAGTTAAATACTAGGAAGAAATACACATAACTTAATTTTTGCAATTTCAAGGCAGTTATAGGTGTAATAAAAATAAAGAAAAATTTTTATTTTTTTCATTGTGTGCTAATTGCCCAAAAATAAACTTGTATTTTTATTTGAAATCATCATGGGCGGTGGATTCGCTAAACAAAGTACAAAAATAGTCTTGCTTAAAGTTGTATATCCACTGGAAGGCATCCCAATATCTGCAGACGGATCCGTTTCGGCCTTCCAGGCCTCATCAGTGCAGATAGGGTATAGACCCAAACGAAACGTTCGACCAGCTTATGTAGGGCCCAAACTAGTCCCATGACCACTAATGATTACAGAGCCAAACCAAGGCAATATATATACACAGCCCAGGTGTGAATGCAAATAGTGGAATACAAGTTATGTGGCTCAGTTCCAGTAGATACAGAGAATGTTTTGTCACTCTTAACGCTTCCTACAAAATTCTTACGAGACAGCACTAGTCCGTGAATTTGTGAACAAGATCGGAGATCTAAAGATGCAATCTCTACCGTGCATCAGTGGCGGCCCGCTGGATCTCAATAGAGATTATTTAATAATATATAAATTTTGAAAGGCAAATGGGAAAAACCCATAACACAGCAAACGGCCACATAATGCAAAACTATCGTTTGGGTCTATACCATAGCTGCACTGATGAGGCCTGGAAGGCCGAAACAGATCCGTCTGCAGATATTGGGATTCCTTCCAGTGGATGCTTAGTTTATTTTGTTATTCTGATCGGATTTTCTCTACTGTTTTGTTTTAATTTCAAATAGTTGTTTGGTCCAGGTTAGGATGCACCTAACCTTAGAGACCTCGTTTATTTGCGCTATATAAATCCATCTATTATTATTAAGTGATAGGGGCTGCTTTTCTCATTAAAAATAATCTACTGTATTTTTTTTAAATATTACTTTACATTCTGTTTTACAGTATCTGATAAGTTTAGGGGTGGCAATACCGTTGCACCGATGCCATTCATTGTGTCAGTTGTACCAAAAAACAATGCTGCACCTGTGTTTCCTGTACCGAATCCTGTGCTTAGTGTAAGGGTCGGGGAGCATACACCAATCCGTAGCAGCCTTGTTACTGTGGAAGATCTAGACACCCCTCTTTCAAACTTGGTATATTCCTTGATTAGAGCACCTCAATATGGAAATATTGTCAAGAATGGAAGAATCTATTTACAGGAAGGTAAGTTACAAATGCTTAAGTTGGTATGATGCACCTTACATATCTTTAAATATCTTTAATCTTTTATCTAATATTTTCATCATTTTGTTTTAAGCAAAAATTATTTGCTCTCTTTAAGGTGATGAGTTTACTCATAGTGAGTTGCTGAGTGAATCGTTTCAGTATTACCAAGACGGATCACTAGCCAATGAGGACAGCTTTGAGATTTCAGTCTCAGACGGCACCCATGTGACGCGTATATCCATGCGTGTGGCCATTGTAAAAGTAGATAGCATGAGCCCGACCCTTAACCCTGATGCAACCTTGGCTCTGTTTCTACAGGAGAATTCCTTTGTTGTTGTTACACGTGCAGAGCTTTCGTTTAATGATGATGACTCCAATGATATGGAGATTTTCTTCCGTCTGATCTTACCTCCACGTTATGGAAAACTTCAGAAGAAGAATCGTGAGGGTGGATATGATGAAATTCTAACAGGAATGCGGTTCAGTCAGGCAGATATTAATGCCTACAATATCAGGTGACCAACATATATTACTACAGTACAGTGTATTCAAAATTTCTATATTAATATAGAATTCATAATTAGTAAAAGAGACAGAGACACTTGGAGACTTTTTGATCATTTTCAAGAATACTGATGAGAAAATCTCACCCATCCAAATATATGTACAATATTTACTGAAGTATAACAAAAGTCAATAAAAACCAATCAATCAGATTAAAAACAAGATCAAAACTGGCCAAATAAAATGAGGTAATTAAAAATGAGGTGTGTCTTACATTAAGTAGATCACTTATTTTCATGAATAACAATGAATAAACAACGCATATATAAGCCTGGGAATGCTAGTTCGATGAAAGTCTCATGAAATGAAATAGACAATAAGATACTCCAGTGAAGTATACTTAAAACAGTAGAAAATGCTTGCAAGATGAGTACATGTGAGAAAAATTTAGGAATTGAGTAAATAATAAAAGCTCCTTAGATGCTCTCAACACAGTGTTTAATACAGGCTTGAAATGTTATAGCATTATAATTATAATAATAGTTATTATAAGTCAACTCCCAATGTTATTTGCCCATTCCCCCACAGTCCAATAATTTTTGACATAGTGGATGCTTGACTTGATTTTTTTTAGGTTTGTGTGCAAGAAAAAATACCTCATGTTTTCGCGTCACCGCGCGAGAAGATATCGCACACCGCTATGGAAGTTGAATTGTATTTGTAAATTACTTTCGTAAAACAAGGTTTTAGAACCCGAAGAAAGTTACTTCAAATTCAATATTAAGTATGAACAATTTAGCAATTCCTTGAATCAGTGAACCCTCATAAACTAAACAAACTGAACATTTAATAGAAATATTCTAGATCTATTTTAAAGACTCGAGGAATGAAAAATTGGATGTAGGCCTATGGCCAGGCAGGGAGGGCGCCTCTCCTATCTAATACCAGGCCGTAGCCCAGCCTAGCTAGTTACGAATCATCGCACGATTACCTGTCTGCATTGACCAAAAATTGACTCTCAATGTTTATTTCTTTGACGAATTCTAACACAAACTAAAGTTATTTATTGTGTCCGTACTGTACTGCTGATGTGTAACGTCGCTAGCTCTCTGAGCTAACATGCGCGTACAGCAGGAGCACAAATCATCAGCATACGCACAGGAGTGTGCTGACCATATCACTATAGCAACCGATGACTGCTACAAAAGTTGATTATCAAAAAACTGTCATTAAAAGACGGTGATTAACTTATAAAGCAATTAGTAGAGCATGCATCGTACACTAGCGGAAAATTATTATACTTACATTTAATGCATTCAAAAATGTGTTCAAGCATTAAATCTAACCTTCGTATAATAATTTTCCTATAGTGTATTATGTGGAGCTCTACTTATTGCTTATTATAATGACTGTACATAATAATATTTTAATTTCCAGATATATGTCTGATGGTGATGTTGGGAGCCAAATTGTCACCGACATCTTTTCTTTTAACGTAAGCGATGTAAATAACAATGTCATAACTAATCAGTTCCTCACTGCCGTCATTACACCAGTCAACGATCTTCCACCAACTGCATATGTTCACAATGACATCATTGTAATAGAGGGTGGTAGAGTACCAATTTCTATACAAGAAATCACAGTATCTGATAGTGACACAAGAATTCCTGAACTGTTGATTGTTCTCGATTCTCAGCCAAGGTTTGGTTTTGTGGAAAGCATCAAACCAGGTAATGAGAATTTTACTACAAGTGTAATTTAATAATGTAGTTAGATTCATATAGTGTTTACACTGACAAATCAAGGTACTGAAGACTTGGAATAACTCTTACAGTAACTACCTTCTCCTCTAATGGTCTCAGCTACCGGTGAACTGGTACCACAACAGGGACCGGTGTGGACCGGTACATTTGGGTAACCTCCTACTTGTCTTAAAGGAAATCCTGTAAATACTTGAATAAACGCCACTCTCGAATAGCTGCTGCTCTTGTATATGCGCCACACCAAGCCTGAAGTTTTTTGCTGTGTGTAATGAAACACTCTGAGAAACAGGATTTTAAATAATAATAATAATAATAATAGTTTAGGTTTATGTAGTGCACATATCCATCTAATTTAAGATGCTCAGGGTGCTTGATATGTGGTCTAGGAACTCGATGAATGACTTTCTTCGCCCGTAAGGCTCCCTTCGTGTCTGTGCTACCCGGTAACCCGGTACCAGCAACTCTCGTCGTCCACTACAGGGGCTGTCTGTTCCAGTACACCAGGGTATCCCCTACTCGTCTCGAAGGATGTACTGGGTTCTTTATAGGGCACACGAGCCATTGTATACACTGGGCCTATGGTTTATAGTCCTTATCCGAGAAGACTTGTTCTACCACCAGAACCATAGGCGAGCGTTCGAACCAGTGCCGATATTATAGCTATAGCTTGTGGCACCCCTGCTAACCGCTCGGCCATTCAACTCACTTAAATACAGTGTGTACGGTGCACAACGATGACACAAGCACTTCTTTATAAACAATTATTTATGATAACCTATAGGACCTATGATAGGCCTACAGAACCACAGGATTATGTAAGATAGTAACATGTGAACGGGCTTGGAATGCACCACGCCAATATTTTTTATAAGTGCAGCTCTTAATTAAGCACCGCTTTCGAATAGGCGCAGCACCTGAAGCATCCAAAAACGAGCATTTACAATACTTAGGTCTATTTCGTCAATACTTACCTGGATAAACCGACTAATTGCCATTGTTCCCAAACGGAACACCCCTTTGAAATAAATGGAACAGTCTGACCCAGGGCGCCACGTACGAACCGTCTCCCTAGCAAACTTCCTCATTCCCTTTTCGACGTTCATTAAAAGTGAACCTCCTTTAAGAGTTGGATCGAGTATTTCCAAGTGTCTCATTTTCGCTACTGCGAGAAGGATTTTCTACCTTTTTCTGCCTTGGATTTTATTTTCAAGAAGTTGTTTGGATTCTGGAATTTTATTTTTCTACCTTGGATTTTGTTTTCGAGAAGTTGATTATACAACATATCCCTTTTTTGTAGCTGTTGGTGGTCTTCGACCGCTATGTCCGCGCGCAAGTCGTTGTGCTCGGCGTGTGGGGGCCCCAAACCAAGTGCCAAGCTCAATAGGCACTCAGAGTGCACTTTGTGTCATTCATGTAGCAAAGCGGAGTCTTGCAAGGTTTGCGCGCGCTGGAGAAGTAGTCTCCGATCTCCACAATGCCGCTGCAAGAATGTCGGCGAGGGGAATCCCCCGAAAGAGAGCCCAAGAAACCACCATGCCGCGAATCTCGTGCATGTGGACAGGTGGAGGCTTGCAAGCCGACGCATAAGCGATTTGGATGGCCGAAACCACCCAGCGAGCAATGGTATTAACTGTAGCAGGCCCATGGGGCCGAACTGAAGAAACAAGCAAATACGAGTCCGTGCTGCGCAACGGACGCGTACAATTAATGTAAAAATGCAAAGCTCGCACAGGGCACCAAACCTTGTCTTCCCGCACAGAGGAGTGCGAGGAAATTGTGGGAATGAAGACAGAAGGAGGGGAATGCGCCAAAGTCTGAGTCTTCGCTAGGAAACAGCTCTGAAAATGAGACGAACACCGCCTCGCTCGAATAGAATATGACCCGGCTCCAAGGAAAGAGCGTGAATCTCACCACGACGCTTACACGAAGCAACGGCCACTAAAAAGGCTGTTTTGAAAGACAGATTAAGCAAGGAAGCCGAGCCAAGGGGCTCATAAGAAGAACCCTTGAGAGATTCAAGCACAATATTAATATCCCAGCGAGGAGGTAAAACGTGCGTCGGGGGTCGATTATTGAACATACCTCTTAATAACTGCGATATCACGCTAGAGGAAGAAATGTTTGATCCATCCGGGAACGTCGGTCAAATAGCACCTAGCGCAGACCGGTATACCGGTATCCCGCAATCGTGGGTACCTGTAGACCCGACTCAAACAGATAATGGAAAAAGAGACACACCTGACCTAGAGAGGCTGCCCACATGCATGAGGTTCGCGGCACGGTAGCTTCTTGGCCTCTCTCTCGTGGGGTTCCCCTCGCCGACATTCTTGCAGCGGCATGGTGGAGATCGGAGACTACCTTTTCTTCTTGCTACTTGCGGGATGTTGTCTCGACCCAGTCGTCTGTGGCGGCTGCTGTCCTGAAGCCGACTCTGTAGGTAAGTTTTCTGGTTTCTGATCACGCCGGCCTCCTCTTTTACGCAGCTAATCTGGCAATTAGTCGGTTTATCCAGGTAAGTATTCACGAAATAGACTACACAAATCAATCGTGATATTGGTAGTCTATGAGTGAGATACTTACCTGGATAACCTTGCCTCCCTTCCTACCCTCTCCATAATCTTTGAATCTCTAGGGAATGAAGACGTTTGTTAGGGAGACTGTTCGTACGTGGCGCCCTGGGTCGGACTGTTCCATTTATTTTTCGAAGGGGTGTTCCGTTTGGGAACAATGGCAATTAGTCCGTTTATCCAGGTATGTACTATATCTCACTCATAGACTACCAACATCATGATTGATTTGTGTATTCTTGAAGCACACATGAGCGTATTGCGTACATTGCGGCTACGGTTTATAATAATTATCCAGAAGACTCGTTCCACCATTATTTGAATTGTAAATTGTTTACTTACAGCTCCAGGTTCTGAGAAGTCACAATCAGGAATCCCAATAAGTTCATTCCCTTTGCAAGATCTGCTGGATAACTCCATCTTCTATGTACAAAGCATACACAAAGACCTAGAACCTACTATTGATGGATTGCTCTTTTATGTGACTGATGGAGAAAACCAATCACCACTGTACAGACTTAACATCACAATTGAGGTAAGAGCCACACCCTATAATGCAAAGAGACGTTGATTGATTGATTAACTTTTTCAAATTAAATATAATTCTGGATTAGATTGGATTGGATTTTTTTTTTTTTTTTTTGGCCAAACACACAGTTATTTTCAGTTGGTTGAATTTACTGGTGGTGAATTTGCCATTACACTGGCAGACATTCTCCTTTTTATCCCCAAAAAGTGTCCTGTGTTGAAAGACCAGCTGAAACACATGGAGGGATGGAATTGAACCTGAAACCCAAGGTCTGAAAAGGTGACCATGGCTCAGCACCCACACAGTGGCTGCAACCGGTTTAGCTGACTTGGCTAAGCTGCTCTCATTCTGTCATAGCTGTGTGTTGTAAATAAGATTTTGAATAGTTGGGGTTTCTGCATTAAATTCTCATCAATATCTATAACCAATTATATTTTACGTACTGTACGATTCTTGTGTATGATGGTGAAAGGATTGGTAGGAACAGGGCCGTGATGTGAATGTTCCTTTCTTTACTCTAAACCAATCTAATGGAAGCAACATCATTCTCAACCTATTCCATTAATGTTATACTCCAGTAGAATTACATTTTTCTGACTTGGTTTTGATCAATAAGCCTTTATGATTATGCAGTAACACATTTTCACAGTAACTGTGTGTTGTAGTTCCACATTTACAGTGAAATTAAAGGGTAGTTATTTGATTATATGTGAGGTCTCACCACGAAATGAGACGCATCACTGGTGAAATCATATTGAGATATTCACCAAAATATGTCAAAGCAAGATTTTTACAAAATTTTGATTTTAATGTTTTCGAATTATTTAATACTTATATATTATGATTGTGTACTTTTTAAGTGAATTTTCTTACTAAAACAGTGTTCTCTGTGCATATTCAGTAATTCTAGTCCTATTATTTGTACAGGTTAGTTTATCTTTGAGGCCGATTTTCTCAAAACCTGGTTCTCATGCAGCTAAACTTTAAATGCTAACATCTCTGGATCTATTTATCCTAGGGAAGCCATTCAAGGATCAAATTAAAGCTTATAATGTGATCTACCAAAATATAATATAAACTTATTTTTTGATTTTCTAATGATGAGACTCATTTTGTAGTGAGACCTCACATATACGTTTACATTTTAGACCAAATTAATAAATGCCGCCCTCAAATAAACGGCCTCCCTTGAATGTGTGCCTCTTTAAAAACCCTTCTCAACAATAAATACCCCAGGGCATTTATTAGAATAAATACAGTAATTAAAAAAACAACATGTGAATCTTTGTGCTGTAAGCATAATTCAATTTATTTACAGATATTCTACAGCTTACATTTAGTCACCACTTACGAGAATATGAATGCTCAATAAACTAAATCTCATGATGATGCTTGATTGTAGTAGAGTAAAATTCGAAAATTTGCAGGAATTTAACAGAGATCCCAAGTCTCCCGAAAATTGTGGGTTTCTCCCGATTTTTTAGGCCGTCTCCCGCCCTCCCGATTTTTATTAATATCTCCCGAAAATTTCCACAATGTCATAGAGCAATGAAACAAAAATTCTTATCTTAAGCCAATATACTATGGC